TAAACCCTGAACCCTATAACAGTATAACCCTTATATAACCGAAATATAACCCCAGTATAACCCTTATATAACCCCCAATATAACCCCTAAATCCTAAACCCTAGTATTAGGCATTTGTATCCCAGGTGCTTCTCCTGCTTGGAGGCCACCCCTGAGCCAGGCTCCAAGGATGCTCCAGAGCCGGGAGCCCGAGTCGTAGATAGGGCTTTAGGGTTTAGGGCTTTAGGGGTTTAGGGTTTAGGGGTTTAGGGCTTCAGGCTTTAGGGTTTAGGGGTTTAGGGCTTTAGGGGTTTAGGGTTTAGGGCTTAAGGGGTTTAGGGTAGTAGATCCCATTTTCTTTTCCGTTCCCCCTGAAAGTTGCCATCTAATTTTCCATTTGCTCTTGCATTTGATTCTCCATTATTGGGCTAAGATCCCTAAACGCTCAATAGTAACTTTTCCATCCCTCAACCATAATCCCTCTATACCTTCCTTTATAACCCGAGGACCCTATAGAACCCTAGACTCGCTGAGGAGTGGGGGAATGGAAAATATGGGATCATCTTAGGGGTTATATAGGATTATCTTGGGTATTCTAAAGGGGTTATGTTAGGAAACTTTAGCGTTATTTTCTTAGGCTTTGGGGTCTAGGGGTTACCAGCCCAGGGCTTTGATGAGGGGGCTAACAGTGCCTGGCGAGGATCCTCCAGAGGTTTTGCTGTCTATTTGACAGGTTTTTACTCTTGAAGGAAGTGTCTGACCCATTGCACACTTTAGGTTTTGGGTTTAGGGTTTTGGGACTGTCAGATCTTTAAGCATCTTCTTCTAAAATCCCCAACCAAATTTTTCTGAACCACATTTAACTTCGCACATCTTTTGCTATCTATGGCTTTTGGGACACAACGGGAAGCCCTAGACCTTCAGACCAGCACATCAGCAGAACGTGCAACAGTGTACAACGCTTCTGTAATAGTCAAGTCTGTGTCTGACCTATAGCAGGACAAGATTCTCTACATGGGGATTTCCATAGATAAGGGGCTCCAATAACAGAATCCAATATGCTATGGTCCTTATCATAGGGACTGTTTACAGGGACCGCTGATTTTGGAAACGCCCACAACAGTATGTCTCAAAGTAACCCTTATAGAATTCCGAATAGGGACTCCAGAATTCCCTCATAGTTGTTTTATAGCTTCGAGGTCCCTAAATTGCGCCCTAGTCCGAGAAACTACGAGATTACATCCCTTGACCCTAAACCCTGAATAGTGGCTTCCATTGCATGTGATTCGCCAATAATATGTCATTCAAAATATAAACACTACACAAACCTTAAACGGTCCTTACATGCGGCTTCTACAAGCCCTATACAGATCCTGCATAAATGGCGGGTGATTGCATAGAGATTATATCGCGACTATATTGAATTTCTTAGATCTATATGGATTTCCATATGGTTTAAGGGTACCACGCCAGTAGCTGAGAAAAGTGTGTGTGAGGTGTTGCAACACTTGTCAGCAGCTGAAGGACTGCGGCCTGGAATTCAGGGAGCATCTATAGGCCATAGGGGCTTATATAGGGTATATTTCGGATTATACTTGGGATTGCAAGGGGGTATTATAAAACGGGCTATGTTAGGATTATAGGGGGGTTACATGGGGATTGTATTGGGTATATATAGGTGTTATTTTCGTTTTTTTCTGAGAAACTCCCATGGCAGGCATGGGCTGCAGCTGTCATTTAGGTGGCTCGTGGATAACTTCTGTCCCCATCATACATAGACGTTATGATTTCATGGTTTTCTTACATATATATATATACATATGTATACATGTGTGTTCAGGCATTTCTCTCTGCATCGACAGTGGGTGGCGTTGCAACCTTCCGCCACCTCTAATTCCGTAACTCAGTTTTTTCTGGCTGAGTATGAGTAGAAGTATGATTACTGATTAAAGTTTCAGCATGGTTGCTACCACTATTGTTCGCTACGCCGCTACGCCTAGCAGCCTAGCATGTTTTCACGGCAGTGAGTCTCACTCGCCTTGCCACAGGAAGCCTACCAGGAGATGGGCATCCCCTACTTTCACATCTTGGACACTGTTGGAAGCCCAGGGTTCCTCGAGTGGGCTTGAAAACCTTTAAAAACATTTGACCACGAGCCAAAACTATCATGACGGAAGCTGGATCTAAAATCGTGAGCGGGGACCTGCTTACAAGTTATAAGCCTTCCCATGTGACAGGGGACCTTGCTTTAGAAAATGACTGCATGGGGATTTCCGGGTGGCCAAGACAGAGACAAGCTTGGATGAGAAGCGATGGTGCCAAGCGGCCGAATTATATTGGTGAGGCTCACGGGCCAAGCTGTTTCCTCCAAGCCTTCGTGATCAAGAGACGTACGCCCATGGATCAGTGGATTGGGGTACAAATAATTAAGGTTCTGTTCAGATGAAGCCTCCAGACCTGCGACACGAGCAGCTGTTCAGAGCTGGAAAGCTGCAAATTTATTGTGGTCGGTGATGTCATTTGTTATCTTCTCTTCACAGGGCGCAGCGATGACCCTCTCCACTCCAATTGCTCGGGGTTCTTGGTGGTTGAGCGCAGCCGCGGGCATGCAGGGGCGGGAGGCCGCCGAAATCAACAAGGGAAGGTCTATGACAACTGATGAGGGTCTTGAGTCAAAGGGGTTAGGAAGATGGTCTCAGAGCCCGGGGCTTGGAGTCTTTAGACTTCAGGGTTTCGAGTTATTCAAGGTTCAGGGTTTGTGTCCCTTCAGGGTTTAGGGTCTTTGGAATCCTTTACAGTTTGGGTTTGTAGTGGCAGTAGCAGTAGTTGTAGCAGCAGTAGTAGTGGGAGCTGCATACTTTTTTTTGATGTTTCGTGTTCGACAGCTGCTTGTGGAACTCCGGGGGGGGGGGGGGGGGGNNGGGGTCTCTTGGCCTTCTGCATGCAGGCAGAAAGACAGAGAGTAGTAGTAGCAGGCAGCCGTAGCAATAGTCGTGGCCCTTGTCGTATTTGTGCGAGCAACAGCAGCAGCCCAGTCAGTGGCAGCACTCGAAGTAGTGATTAGAACACGTAGCAATTTTACACGAGTGTGATGGCGATCATCTTTCCGTGCCCGCTTTCCGAGGCAATGCAATGCCGAAACAGCGTTGGCTGCCAGGTTCATGGCGATGTACTGGTGTCCAAGGCGGCTTCTAGAAGTTTCGCGACACAACAGTGACATTCCTTGAACCCTAAACTCCTCTTGGAGCACTAGTATTGGTCGGTTTTGATATTCATATTCTCAAAGTTGCCATGTATAGTCTTCCGTCACTGGCACAGGTTGGAGGCAATGTGCATGTCGCCTTGGGCAAGTCAACCGTGCTGAGCTCTGGATTTGTTTTGCAGACCTCGTCTTGGTTTACTACTCCAATTTGCTTCGCCATTATGGTTATTGCTAGTGTCATAACCAGTTCACTTCTCTTGGTGGTGCCTGCACGAGCCACAGATTCATGAGAACCGCCATCACCAGCATCTCAATGCTCGTTGCGTGGAGCTTTGCAGAAGTATCTCCACATTTCCGTCCTTGAGGTCAGAGATGGCAAGCACGTGCATGAGTTTAACCTGAAAGACGTCAGTGATGGGTTCAACACGTCCCACATCATCCACAGACTCGAGCGAGTGTCTCAGCCCATCCTGTGCATTTCTGCAATCTGGGCTGGTTTGAGAAGCCTTGATGGTATCAGCTCCATGTACTTGTGGTACAGCCCTGGCAATGTTTGATTTCTCTTTAGACCCCCCAAGCCGCAAGTCTCCATTTTCGGGGAGCCTGTAACTTGGCCAAACTTGGGCCTTTCCCCACTGCAGGTTCGGGCAGCGAGTGCCCGGTGTGGAGTCTCCACTGGAGGCAGGCGCCAAGAGAGGAGACGATTTGAAAAACAGAGGTGCCTTCTTGGTGGAGTTCCTATAGCGGTTGCTTGAATCTTCCCTCACATTTTGCGTCCAGGCCATACCACATGTAAATCAACCTGTGCGCTTACAGTTGTACTGCTGCAATGGCTGCTGCTTCTACTGCATTATTCCTAGCAAATTGTAGTAAGCATGGCCTGAGATACTTTCGAGGTTATCAGACCATGATTCAGAATCGGAACAGTGGTGTTTGTGATTGCAATGACAACGGCAGGCATGACCTCATTTATGATTTTGTCATGATCCTGTTTTCAGGGTCTGAAAGCAGTGACGCCCTTGCCTCATAGTCCTGGTGTTAATCAACCACCCCCAACAAAAAAAAAAAACAACACTCTTTCGGGACTTCCAGAAATAGGAATCGGCAACTCAAAGAAACAGGTATCTAGACGCTGGTCAAGCCACCAGATCTTTCTTTCTCCTCGTGCGGTGCAGGGCACAGCGAAAATTGTCTTGAAGGGTGCGTACATGTTCCACTACTACATCAAGCTGGTAAGCCTCACCTGTTTGAGGGAGCTTGGGTAGATGGGCCTGCGACGGAGCGGTGATGCCTTGTTTTCTCTCATTTTGGATCGCCCATATCTAGGGAGTGAGGGTTCTTCAGCATAGACCAAGATGAGCACATTGTAAGGTTCCAACTCTGTTTCAGACTGGCGATGGCACGAGCGGCCCTCAGTTGCGAGTATCCAAAATCGGGGTCCTTCAACGCAGCCACTGTTTTACATTGTGGGGTACCAAAAAAGGCATTATCGTCATTATTACGACGATTATTATTACTGCTACTACTGCTTCTGTTCCCGTTTTTAGCCAGCAGCCAAGGCCGCTCTACACACATCAGTACTCGGCTGCTACCTCAGCACCAAGTACACATGGGGGCTTCCCGAAATCAGGGGTAACTTTGTGGGGGTCCCTAGAATAACGACAAAGTATTTTCAAGTCCATATTTGGGTCCCCCTATTGAGGGGAACTACCACGTGAACCCCGCAAGTTCTCATCTACTGTTGATCAGCGCATAGCGGTAAGTGTTGCAAGAGAAGCTGCGACGACCACAATGGCAATGATAAGATGCAGCAGTCAGGACTGGTAACAGGCAGAGTAGGATGAAGGAGAAGAATCAGCAGCAATACCAGCTCCAGCAAGAGCAGCAAGAGAACAACTGCTAGTAGTTAGTGGTGGTTGTAGTGGTAGCAGTAGCAGCAACAGTTCAACAGGCAGTAGCAGCAGCCATTAATTCCTAGCCTGGTAGTAGCAGCAGAAGCAGCAGTACTGAGATGTTGCTCTCACTGAAGTAAAGGCGGCAGGCACGGAAATGATGATGACAATCAATTGTGCCATACAAATTGTTGAGCTTCTGCCGTCCTTGCTCTTTCTCGAAGGTGACGGGGAATGAGAAGGACGTGCTGGTGAGGCAGCGTGTACTTGGATTGGATGTGTACGGGCTTCAAGCTCAGACGCCAGGCTTTAGGAAGATATCGATGCAGGCTTTGTTCTGGCACTGAAGACATGGTATGCAATGGTTTGCTCTGGCATTAGGTGCCTCAACTGACATACTGAGAGAGTGTTTTCCATTTTCTTCTTGATTACCGAGGGAAAATGTGCAAACTATTGTATGAAACTGTGCGTTGCTATTAGTACCATTGTTGGCCGTGTTGTCATCATTAGACTCATTACTAGTATCCTTGCAGTTGATTGTGGCCTGTAGCTGCCAGACTGCCCTCAAGTGCAAGAAGTGGGTTTCAAAACGTAGGGGGATGAGAAGACTTGTTTGTAGCCAGGCTGTAGGTCTTCGAACAGTTTTCTTCAGGCACTAACATTTCTTGTAGCAGCAGGCATCTACGCATAGACTCATCTGAACCTTCCTGAGCCAAGACCATTGCTTGCAAACTTGAGTATGTGACCTGCGGAGGGAGAAGTGCAAAGAAGTCAAGGGCTCCGAACTCGAGTTTCTATTCTTGATGACTGTCACGATACGCAACAAGGGTTTGACTCTTGCCGCGTTTAAGTTTGCACGTCGGCGTATCCGGAGCTTGCTCTCCGCGATAATGGTCGTCGCAGTCATAGTTGTAGTAGACGTCCTCCCCTAATCTCCTCCCGTTTGTTCATCCTCTTCCTCCCACTGCAAGTGTGTCATTTTTACCAATCCTCTCACTTTACCATTTCGGAAGCTTCAGCATCTTCTTCGGGCAGGCAGGGTGAGCTGGCTGGTCTTCCAGGGGTATTCTTGGTCTACGAGCGCGGGCCTGACTGGGTTTGGGTTTAGCATCTGAGCCTTTAGACCCCAACCTGGGTATCTTTCACGCCAAAGGTTTTGCACAGGAATCTCGACAACCCTTGCCTGAGTATCCCTCAAAATATGACAGCACTTTGAGTTAAACTTCCCCCCGTACTCCCGTTATCCCTCAGGCCCTGAAAGCAACCAGATCTCTGGTTGAGGACAAGAAGTCTTCATTTTCTACGGACATGCCTGATGGTAAGTCGTGGGCAGGGATGAGGGTCAAGGTCGGATGTCGATGGCCCGTGATTTTGTGGTCCGGTTTGCATTCCCGTGATTTTTATCCTAATGTTGCTCTTGATGCTGTTGCTACTCCATTTTCGTTCGTATTCTTAGGATTTGTGCGAGTTGTGTATATTTCTATTCTTTTTCACTTTAAGCCCTGTTGGTAACACCATATTTGTAGTTCTTCTTATGATGGTCATCATTCTTGTGATGATTTTCTGTTTATCACCTTTTTCTTGTGCTGATTGTCTTGTCATTGTCGTCTTTTGAATGAAAGTACTGTCTGAGGTTCACCCCATTCATGGTGCAGAAGACAGAGAAGGAGTCTTTGCTCGAAACTCTGAGTGGTTACTGTGGGAGCCACAAGAATCAGCAAGGATCAAGTTTGCGCGTTTTTTTGGAATGTATCTTACTCGATGTTTAAAACTTGCAGACTTTTGGCTAGTCTGAATCCCATCAGAACGTGCCGATCACCCACTTCCTGATCTCCGTCTGTGCGATCATCGGGGGCGTCTTCACCGTTCGGGACCGAGTCCGCCCTGCCTGCTTGCTGGATGTTGCGGGATGAAAGGGGACTTTGTACTGGCCAGCATAGTTGTTGCTTTTCAGCTGGCATAGTGTAGCAGGCCCAGTTCCTTGACAAACAGCCAGCTGCATGACTGAGAGCGCTCCCCAATAGTTGTATGTCTGCCTGCTATACATGTGCGTGGCGGCTTGCGGACCGTTTTGGGATTACACTCAGGTTGCAAGTCTCCTCGATGCCGTTCTGTATCGAACCGCGAAGCAGCTTGGGAAGCCGAAGTCCGTCGCGTGAGCAGTCCGAAGATGGTTTGGAAGCTCAGTTCTGACGACAATGCTGGGCCCTGCTTTTGGCACCAGCTTTCCAAGAGCATCAGGGACCAGTTCCTGGAACCGGAAGCGCTGTGCAGCCTGCAAAGAGCTTTCTGGCGTCTACCAAAGTGTAAGACCAGGCTTGTGCGGCAGCTGCTGGTTCAGGCCCGGAGGAATGGAGGCCACTGTGCCGGTGCTCAGATAGAAAATAGCCTTTGCCGGATACTTCTTCTGGAGTAGAAGCTTGCAGAAGCTCGCAGCTCTTGCTCTCAACAGACGTAACACCTGTAGTGGCAATGTGCATTCTTCGGAAGTGCGACAATACCTGGCGGAGCGATGAAGTAGTGATTGCAGTGACTTGTTCTTATGTAGATGAGCAGAGCAGTGATGCCATTAACAAGCGCAACAGCACTGATCACAGAAGTGTTGGTTACCTGATTTCGTGATACATCGGCTGTGACTCCAAGGAATTTACTTATAGTAACGCGTATACAACCGGTGTTTATTTCGTTTCGACTGTGATTTTCCAAATGAATTGTGTTCCTGCGATGACAGTCATTCGCTATGAAGGCACGTTCGCTGCCCCACAGCCACCTGAGCCTTCTAACGCACAGCAGTTGGCTTGAGGGGCTAAGTCAAAGCTTGAAATCAAGTTTCACAATTCCGGCCTCTTTCTGCTGTTTTATTTCCACTGCTGCGGTGGGCCGGTGCATGCATAGCTGCTTTGGATGTCAGCTGAAGGTGCTTCGTGCACTTGAAGGCGCAGGTAGCTTCAGGGCCGATATGCGTTTCGTGTCGCGTCACGACACTGGCAAAGAGGCGTGTTGTAGATCTCAAAAGTGCCAACATTCAAGTCACAAGGATGGTGGGTGTCTTGGTCACGACTCATGCAAATGTCATTGTTTTTGGATGCTGCAGATGTCAGAAATGCCAACACTAAGCGGGATGGTGCTTGTCCGCCACCAACGAGGAAATCACTCACACCACGGGGGGAAGGGGCAAGATCAGACTGACCTGAACAAAAGCTCAATGCTGAATTGCTACAGGCTGAAGACAATTCCATATCGGTATTGCTGCCACCAAGCGGACACTTCGCTGCTGCGGGGTGACAGCAATTGCAACTGTGCTAGCAATTGCAGGAGGAGGAAAACCACCCATACCATACGGGGAACGGAAAAGATTTGAATGACTTCCACAAGGCAAAATGATTACAGTTATTGAAGGAAGACAACCACCCACACAACAGGGAGACGGAGATGGTCTGAACGTTTTCAGCTCAAAAATATTTCGGAGAAAGAGGACCCACCAGACCACAGCGGGGAAGGGGAAAGATCTGAATAAACCGACACTCACGGGGCAAAGAAAACCCACCACAGCACAAGGCGGGCGCAGGAAAACATGAATAACTTACTAGAATACTGGCAGCTAGAGGACCTTTTCCTTCAGCCCTGGATCATATGGAGCTACTGTCAATATGAGCCATATTAAGGGACCCGACAATTAACATAGGAGTCCCTGTAGCGTAGTATAGTTCCTATTCTAGTCCCTAATAAAAGACCCATGTCCTTTGAATTATGTAGGAAATATTGACTGTAGCGCATATATGCAGTACATACTTGGCTCCGAGCTAGTTTGGAGTTGCGGCCACTGTGTCTTGCAAACACACAACCAATACCTACGTGGTTGATCTTGCAGTGCTTGCTGATGGTTATGGGCTTAGGATTTCGGATGTGGAGTGTCTTCACGAGAGCCTAAAAAGCCGATAAAAGGAATAACGCAGACGATGGCAAGAATAAGGGAGTTCACATGTCAGAATTATGGCAAGCCATTAGGGCAGCTCGTCTCTTTGGCTGCTTGCGGAATCGTTTTTGCACTCAGCAAATCACGCTTGAAAAAACCTGCCTCGTATCGTTCTGGGCTGATGCCTCCGCAAAGGACCATGGCCCAAACCTCCAAACCAAGAGCCTGGGATTTAGAGTTATATTAGGCTTGTATTGGGGTTATATTGGGGTTGAATTAGGGTTAAATTGGGGTTATATTGGGAATATGGAAACTGAAATGGAAACTACAATTTAGTATTTAGGGTTTAGAGATTAGGGTGTTTCTGCAAAAAGGGATTCAGTGCGGAATGAGTTTTTTTTCTTGAGAAGCAGTGGCAGAAGGCATGCGATGCCAATGAATGTTTGAGCGTCTCATGGGGGCTTTTTAATTTTAAGTTCCTTAACCCTAAACCCTAGACCCTAAATAGTAGTTTCCATTTTATTTTCCATTACGCCAATATAGCCCCAATAAACCTTAATTGATTGGCCTTCAGGTTGCAAGCACATGAGGCATGGATTTGTCTCCCGAGCATTTTGGCTGATCAGCTTTACTATGGTACGTATACCTTTCAGCATCCGACAGTATGAGCAGTGTAAACATAGATGAAGACACCGAAGTTACAAACCTGAACAAGAGCAACTTGAGTAGAAATTGCAGGCAGCGTGCCTTAACTGATTCATAGTTTTTCTTGCTGGAGCCTGAGCTTGCTGGAGGCTTTAAGTTCACCTTTCAAAAACAGGGCAACAATCAAGGAGAGGCTTGCCTAAGCCGTGAGGCAGCAGCAGTGTTCAAGGAAATGACTGGCCGTAATCATGATTAGCACCTTGCGTTGAGAATCGGCATTGTATCATTGCAAGGAAAAGAAAGGGGCCCGACATCCCTGTCCGGTCCAGGCTTCAGGATTAACCTCAGAATCTTGCGAAAGGTCAGGCTAAGGTCAGGCTTGTCTAATAGGGCTTCTAGCTCCTGCTACGGTTCATGGGACGTAAGTCAAGTCCGACGGACCATTCTTGAACATAGCCTTTTGTAGATTCTTGTTCAATGCTTCTCTCTGCTTGTGTGACAGCAGGAAAGAAACTGCTGCGCGTGGCGTGACTAGACAGTTCAGGCTCACAGATTGGGTTTGAGCAGCTCTCTTCTTCCCGATTGTCCGTGCTGCCATGTTGCGACAGACTTATGCGACAATCAGCACTGGCCATCTCAAGACAAAGGTACAGCCCCTGAAGCACTTAGGCAGGTTCTGCTTAGTTAGCGAAATCCCTACGTCCTCCTCTGCATTGCCACCAGCTGACCTGCTTCACTTGCGAAGTTCTTGCAACCCCAATTTCCCTGCAAGCACAAGGCACCCCAAACCCTCATCTGCAGATCTCTTCTCTCAGACCCAACACCGAGACCATACAGTAATGGTCAAATCCCAACCGCCCAAGCCACTCATAGCCAACCCCAAAACCCCAAAAATCAACCTGCAAGAGGTCATGGCGATGGTGGAGCGACTTGAGGATGATGATGCGGCCTGGCGACGCCAAGTGGCGCCCTCAGGCATTTTGGTGCTTGAATGGGAGTGCGGGAGACTGTGCTGTTGGGAGATCTCATGAGAGCATGATAGGGATGCACCCTCGCACTCCCCACGAAGCATCAGTCAGCTGGATCATGTGACATGCGCAATTTGTACTTCAAGGCAAGAGCAGAACCTTTGCTGTGAGCCTGACGTGCAGACCAGCATATCGCAAAGATTTGTGTGGCTTAAAGATGAGAAGCAGTCTTGCATATGTTATTGCTTATGCAGATTTTTCTTTTGCAGCCACTTGCCAGCCATACAGCTGATGATGCCATTTTCATCATTTGTGCTGTCCACACAAACATCCGTAAGCAAGCCAGGAAAGACATTTTGTATCAGGTTCTGTGCTAGAACGAATTTGGAGAGGACTTAGAAATGAGGCCGTTGTACCTGAACCCTGCTGCCTCTTTCTAGACAGGCCAGTTGTCTTCTGTAGGATAGTCAGCATCCTGGTGCGTTTATATCCGTTGTAAAGACAGGTAGGTACTTCAAGATGCAGGCGCATTTGACTTTGTGGAATGTAATTGCTTGGTAGGATGAACTGTCCTGCTTGAAAAGACGGCTCAGTTGCGGCAGTGGTGTCCTTTCGTTTCTTTATGCGGAGGGTGGCTAAACATGCTTCACATGTGGCAGTCAAATTAAACGGATGCAGTCGTGATGCCGGCAACTTGAAGAGAGCGAACGCCTAGCATCGGTACATATGTGATATGCAGAAGTCCAGTTTGTCTGGGAAAGCAGCTTTTTTCATCATCAGAGGACATGCAGCTATCACCGCTTCTTCAATGCTGAAATTTCGTAAGAGTACCATTAAAATTATGCAGATGTGTGTTCTTTTTCCTTGAGCACTGGTTGATTTGTTTCGGGAGGGCATTCACGTGTTCCTAAGCCTGAAGAAGGTGTCCTGGCAATTGCCGTTGTTGGAGCACAGATGTAGTGCCAAGGCGTTGATGGAAATTGACCCTTTTGAGGCTGCTGCTTGGCTTCCAGAAAATTATCCCGGCTCCTTTTCACCTCCCCCATCCCCGCAACACTTCACATGTAGTATAGCCCATTTGGTCGTTGTAGGTCTTCCTTTGGAATACCCTGCATGTTGTTCAAGGTCAAGTAGAAGTTGTCTACGGGACTTTCTAAGCAGTAGGTGCACTGCTGTCTTGCGCGCTCTCCAGTGCCCCTGCTGAAAGGCGCGTAACCTCGACAAGCTGAAACCCTCAAATCCATATGCCTCAGCCCCCAAACCTGAGCATCACCCAACCAAGGAGCCGCAGTCGGTGGCCAAGCTTGACCGCACCGAAGATGAGATGCCGGCAAACAGCGCACCTGCTGCCGCTTGGTTGCCGTAGTCGCTTCGCTACATGCGTAAAGCCTTGCGCACAGAAACATCAACGCAGTTGGCTTCAAGTTGCTTCCAGTCATCTAGTCCCAGTAGCTCTGGCAACAGCCCGCCTACGCCACAGGGAACGCTATCTACAGTTAGAGGCAGGCTTGAAGGCCTGACTCTTTCTTTTGCAAATCTTGGTGTTGCAGCCTCTGCGAGGTGGGAGATAAGGATGGGGACGACCGATGTGAACCAGAGCTTCAGTTCGACTCCGCACCGTCGGACGATGAGCCTAGCCCCACGCGAGACCAGCCAAGCCCGCTTGCAAAGCCCTCAGAGCTGGATGAGGGTTTGCCAAGAGAGCAGACGGAGGAAACAAGGGCGGAGTCGCCTGAATCCAGGGAGGCCGCATCGAGGGAGGACTCGATTCAAGCAGGTGCAGCAAGCGGTGATGGCCAAGCGAGCCTTGGTCTTGATTCAGATGCTTCTTGAATTCGCAGACACCGCCTGGCGGCTCTTCTCCCGGCATCCCAGCTCAGGCAAGAAGACAAGGACGAGAAAAAGGAGGAGCTCGAAGAGGCTTTGTGAGAAGATTCAAGCCTTGCAGCACCCACTGAGCCTGGCTGTAAAGGCAGATCCAGAGGAAGCTGATGCCGCAGAGCAGCCTGCGACGGAGGTTCCTACCATGCGCCAATATCGTTGCTGCTACACGGCTCTCTGCCACAAGTACCAGTGCTGCCCCTGCTGGAACTGCTAGCGCTGCTGCTCCTGCGATACCCGCTAGTGCCGCTGTCCTTGCATCTATTATGACTATGTCTGCAACGATGCCTATTTGCATTACTCCTACTCCGGCTCCAACACAAACACACACTACTGCAGCTACAGCTATAACCAGCAGCAGCAGCAGCAGCAGCAGCAGCAGAAGCAGCAGCGCCAGCGCTACCGCCACCGCCACTGCCACCGCCACCGCCACCGCTACGGCCACCGCCACTGCCACCGCCACCACCACCTCCCACCAGCAACGCCATTACCGACACCAACACCAATACCAACACCACCGTATCAACAACACCAACACCCCCAGAAACCCCAACAACCGCAACAGCACCAGCAGCACCAACGGCAGCAACACCAACGTCACAAACAGCGCCAACAGCGCCAACAGCACCGACAGCACCAATACAGCAGCAGCACCAACAGCACCAACAGCACTCCTGTTCTTCTTCCACTACGATTGATTACTGCCATTTCTGTTGAGATTTCATACTCAAGACTTCGACCTTGCAAAGCGACAGCTAGCCGACAAATGGCGAATCCTTTCGACGCAGGAGGCCGATCATGGCACGGGAACGGGGGAGCTTCCAGCTGAGGCCCGGTTACGCGACAATCTCCAGGGTGGTTATTCCTGGGGTTGAGGTGCCAGTGGTTGGCATGTTTGGCATGGGGTTCTCTTATCATTTATCTTGAACATGATCTTGATGTGTCGGTGTCAAGCTTCAAGAGGGTGGGTACTTCTAGAACTGCCACTATATATCATTCCCGACACCGGCACCACTCCTGCCGTAGCTGAAGCTCCAGACCCTGTCCTTTGATCTGATGAATCTAGGGGCTTGATTTACAACCTCTCCGTCCACAGGAATTACGATATCCAGGATTGACATAGTTTGGCGCCTGAGATCACGTTTGAATCAAAGACTTGCATTGCCATGGGTGCCCCTCCTTTGTGTTTTTTGTTAAAGTGCCGTCCCAAAACAGTTTACGAGGTGCTGTGCGCCTCACTAGGAGTGTCTCAAAGTGATCCTTGCATAGTCCTGCGTGGGCTCAGGACGTTTCCTTGAAGTCCCCCCCGCTTCAAAATGGTAGTTTCCCAACATAGGGGACCCGAATATATAGCCTCAATTACTATAATCCTTATTAGGGCGGCCCCGAAAATGGTGAGGATTGCAAGGAGAGATCACTGCCGCTTAGATAATGGACAAGAAAACGAAAACCACTATAGTGTATAGGGGTAATATAGGGATAATGGACAAGAAAATGGAAATTGCTATAGTATATAGGGGTAATATAGGGAATAATGAAAAATAGAATGGAAACCACTGTAGTACATTGGGGTTCCATAAATTGGGATAGTGGAAAAGAGCATGGAACCTACTAGGATTTATTTAGGATTCTATGCCTCACCCCGGTGTCCATGCATTTTCCAGTTTAGGAAGCCTGGAACAACCCCTAAACCCCATAATCCCCCTTAAGTAGATAGAAGATCGCTTTCGGTATATTAGAATAAGATCCCCATATACCCTCTATTCTATCTACTTGAGGGGGACTATAGGATCTCAAGCCCGCCATGAAGCCTCCAGGAAAGCACGCAGACCGAGCAGCCCCAAGCAAAGGACAACAGCGAAACTCAGCAGGAGGAGCCCTGGCAGGTGTTTTTTGGTAGGGACATTGGGAAACCCTATTAAGTACTATATATACCCATGATGGTAACTTAATTTAAGTTCCTTAGTGAAGGAATGGGATAAAGGGACTCCTAAATAGGGAACTCTGTAAAGATACATTCCTTCATGCTCTGCTAGGGAAAGTCAGGTGTCAGAATCTCCCCTGGCGCAGGAGCCACCGGCTAGCAAGCGCACCCACAAAGTTCACCGCTTCTTCCAGAGGTCGGCCACTCATCATTATATGAGCTATAGTCTAAAATCCCCAAAAGGGGTTATAGAGGGTATCATTTTGGGGAGTATTATGAGGGTTATTTAGGGGGATATTGGGAGTTTAGAGTATAGCTCATATGGGTTGTTCTCGAATATCTGGGCCCTTTTTGGTCACAGATTATATGGCCGAACCTCATTTTTTGGGGTACCCAAATGGGACCCTAATTTCGGGAACCACCTGTATCATTGACCCTCTGTTCCCAAACTACGGGATTTTGCTTGGGGTCATGCAGGATGCTGTGTATCGACAACACCAGATGAAAATGAACCACAAGGAGCGTAGTGTTCGCAGTGGAGTGGTCGTATTGCCTATCAAGCCAATACTTGTACGAATACGTGTTGTCACTTTCAAAGGTCTTCGTCAAGACAAGACTCTCACTTACAGGCATTGTGTAGTAACATGACGTCGGGCTGGCTGAAATTGCATGGGCTAGTACTTCCAGAGGCCGCGTGCCCCGCGCTCGGAGGAGGACGCTTCTGCTTGCAGAATTCAGGAAGAATCATAGGGCGTTTGGCATTTCTTTTCTGGGCTGTGAATTGCTTCAAGAGTTCGAGCTTTATGCCAGGGAGAAGCATGAGCCGGGCTAGTAGTGTCGGTGGCTGCAGCAACAGCAGCGGCGGAAGCAGCAGCTGGATGTGGAAGGAGCACTAGTAGTCGGCGAAGTATGGGTAATGTAGGGGGAGTTGGTCGTGGTGGTGGCGGCTGCAGCGGCGCGTGAGGTGGTGGTGCTGGTGGTGGTGGTCGCGGCGGCAGCGGCGGCCCCGGCCGTGGCGGTGGCGGTGGCGGCGGCAGTGGGAGGTGGTGGCGGTGGCTGTGGCGGTGGCGGTGGCGGTGGTGGCGGCGGCGGTGGTGGCGGTGGCGGCGGTGGTGGTGGCGGCGGTGGCGGTGGTTGTCTTCATTCTGTTAGTAGTGGCACAAGAATTAGCAGTCCGCATGCTAGTGACAACACGTGACCACAGTCTTCGTGGTGTTCGTGTGCGGTGCCATTGGCAGCGTTGTAACTTCCTGTGGCCTGCAAGCCTTTGGAATACCATGCAGGAGCCTCAAAAGGAGGAGCCGCACCCAAAGAACGAAACTGAAGGCTCGGTCCTGTACTCTCCTTCCCTCTGCCCCATGCATCTTCTCGAGGCAAACAGGCTTTGTATAAAGCAGATATCCCACGATGACTTGAACATTACCTAGCAGCACCCTCCTAATAGCTTTAGGAAGCTCTGCCGAGGAAAGGGTTCACATGTTTTTCAGGTCAGGCTTTGTGGTAGAACTGTACGACTCCTTGCAGATCGACGTGGTTGTAGTGTCAGGGTACGGGTTTTATGGCGTTGGATTTATGGACAAACAGAACAACATGCACTCGTACTCGCTACCTTTCATTTCCCAAGTCCCAGCAAGTATAGCAACATAGAGTTTTGGTTGGTTGCAAGAAACTATGCATCAGTGGTTGCACAATGCACATGCGCAGCGGTGTCGCTGGTTTCTGACCACTCAAGCACAGGCCATTTCAGACTAATCTGGAAGGATTTTTTCATTCGCATTTATTCATATTCAAAAGTTACCAGCATACATCAGCATACTGAAAGAAACTGTTCTTGCGTAATGTAATACAGTGTTTCTACAAGAAAGTTACTGAGGGCAATCTGGGGCTTGATCGTGAATTTCAAGCCCTATGCTGTCGGTTCTCAACATGAGGTCCTTCATGGGGGTTCCGTATATGGCTGGGCCCCAACATAGACTCTAGAATGCTAGTGTTGCCCTGCTTATAGGTTCACCAGACTGTTTGAAATGAGATGAGGCGTATTTATACTCTTCATATTACCAAGCCCCCTTCACAGACCTTTGTGGATTTTAAGTCGGGAGCAACACCCTTCGTAATCCCCAAGCCCTCGAATCCCGAATTCAGAAAAAAACAAAGCCCCTGAAACTTGAACCCCTGAACTATTAGCAAATCCACCCTGGCCCATGCTTGAATCATAAGCCACCATTGAACCCTGAATCCCTAAACC